CCCCAAAACCCCAAAACCCCAAAACCCCTAACTCCCTATAAAATTTTGACTTAAAATAATGTCTCTATTGCCTCTACTATTCCTTCTGTCCCTCTTCCCTTGTTTCTTCTCTAAGCAAACTCTTCTAGAAGGACTCTCTGAGCTAGATAAGGTTATGGACCTTTATGAAGGAATTACCAAGGATCACGACCAGCTCCAGGCACAAACTATTGACGGTCAAATTTTAGCAGAAGTTTATTCGGCGATTCTGGAAAAAGGAAACTGTACTAGCGACGAGGAGTTTATGAGAAAGGGATGTGAGCAGTTGAGGAATGTGGGAACGAAGGATAGAAATTTGAGAGCGATGCAGTATTTTGGGTATGTGCAGAGTTTGGTGGTTGAGGAAGTGGAAAATCCGTTTGGAGATGTATTTCCGGATTTTGAGGAATTTAAGCCGGATCATAGATCTGTTATAATTATTGATGAGAATCTTGATTATCTTGAGTTAATGAATTTTTGGAGACAATATACTTGTTTGTCTTATAAAAATGCATCTAAGGAATATCGTGAGATTCAGAATAGCTATATGGAACTTCTTAAATATCTGCTGCCATACAATACAACGGACGATAAACACTTGTTACCTTTCGAAATTTTTAACCAAGATTGCCAATGAAGTTTGAAAAATATCATATCTTCTCTAAACCCAGCTCATTCTGGATACTTGTACTTTTACTCAAAGCTTGGAGTGACTGCTCAGCAGCCACTCATTAGAGATGAAACAGAAACTGATCTTGATTTTGATCATTATTACTCTAAAGAAGATATTGAAAGAGCAACAAGGATAAAACAAATAAAAATTAATATCGAAAAAGGAATCAACGATACAGTAATTGATGGAGTAGATGTTAACCAGACAAAATCTGTTTCTGTAAATCCTCAACCAACAGACAATATACAGGAAAATATCTCTTCAGAAAATCATGAAATTAATACAGACGGAGTAAATCAGGAAATCCAAGGGACAAGCCAGCCTGAGGCTTTTGGTGAAGTTCATGAAGGACCTCATCCAAATCCTAATCCAGTAAATTATCCCTTCAGAATTCCAAATTTATTCAATAACATAGGGGAGTTCTTTAATCGCTGGAGTCCCTTTGAATATTTATCTTCTACAAAATTATTTAGTAGATTTTTCAGGAAGAATTCATTTCAAAGAGATGAAGATGATTCTGAAGAGTCCACAAAAATGAATCTGATTATAAATCAAGCTTTTAAGTCAAACAGCTCGCTCCTATTTTACAACATTGGCAATATATATTTCTCAGGGAATACAGAATTCGGAGTTATTAAGAACATTGAGAAAGCACGTAAATATTACAAATTAGCAGCAGATATGGATAACCCTCTTGCCATTTACAACCTGGGTATTCTTGCCATTCAGAAGAACGCTAGCTACTCTCTCCAGATGTTTGAAAGATGAGCCAAGCCAAACTTTTCAAGCTGATATATTGGTCAAGGTAAGATATACAGCAATCAAGGTTTCTCTGAGAGAAATCTCACAAAAGCAGTAGAATCTTTTGAGAAAGGGCTTGAGCTAGGTGATTTTGAAGGAGCTTCAAATCTGTCGGAACTATACTTTAACGAGCTTGATATTAAGAATGACACTAAGGCACTTGAATATTTGGATATCGCAATTAACAACACTGATTCTCCAGGACCTAAGCTTTTAAGGATTATCAAATATCTAGAAAATTCGGCGAGTATTGAAGATCCTGGCAATTGTGAAAAAGCTTATAACCTCATTAAAAATCTTATTGAAATTGGAGAAATAAATGAGTGGTACTTCTATGGATATAAGAAATACACTACAGGCAAGTTTGACCAAGCATTACAATTATTCTCATTTGCTTCTATGAATGGACATAAATTGGCAACTCTTGCTGCTGCTTACATTTGGGAGCACAATCTCACTCAAAACTTAACTTGAAGATTAGGGCACCATTCTTTGTGATCTTTTGTGTATAATATGCATTCCTTCTTTTTAGGAGATAAATTTGCAGGATTAAGAGCCACTAGAGTTATAACTTCTTTAAATACTAAGATAAATGTTTCAGAAAATGCTCAGATTAAGGCAAATGAGCTTTATTTCCAAATTCTAGAGCATCTTTCTGAAGACATTCCCGAAGCAAAATTTAACAAAGCATCATTAATTGTTGCTACATCTCCTGATAAAATTGATGAAGCTGATGATATTTGGGACTCCATGATCTATGACTCGTGGAATGGCAAGATAGATATCAAGAATCTTGCACCTGCGGTATTGAGTAAGCTGTACCATCATGCTAAATTATATATGTATGCAGAAACCTCATAAGTCATAATTTTCAATAAGTAGCCTAAACTTTGGGGTTTTGGGGTTTTGGGGTTTTGGGG